GATCACACACAGTGTCAGGGTTGGATGCACACCCAGGATCACACACACTGTCAGGGTGGCTGCACACCCAGGATCACACACACTGTCAGTGTTGGATGCACACCCAGGATCACACAAGTGTCTGTGTTGGATGCACACTCTGGAGCACATGTGTCATGGTTGTTTAGCCTCATAAAACCGGTCAGTAATGTTCCCTTTCTCTGTTCTCTTAAGAAGTTTGTTGATTATTGATAGTGTTTCTGCTTTAATGATTTGGCAGCATTCATCGAATCAGTTGTTTCTGTTTCTTGAAATTGCCCTTAATTTTCCTCTGCTGTCTTTAGGTATTTCTTTTGAATTTTTTTTTTTTTCCCTCTCCAGCAGTTTTACTATGGTAGGCCAAAGTATGCTTCCTGAATTTGCACTTTGATGGTTTCCATTAGTTTTGGAAAATTCTATGTTGTTTTCTTTTTATATTTTCCTTCTCTGCATTCTCTCTTCAGAGATTCAACTTATCTGTAGTTTGAACATAAATTTCTTATGTTATCTTCTCCATTTTCCATCTTTTTCACCTGCTGGCCCTGCCTTTGTGAGGCTTGGACTATGTTGGACTGGTCCCCCGTCCTGGGCAGAGCCTTCCCAGATCCCCCACCTGAGAGCCGCTGGTGTGCAGTCCACAGGACTGTCCTCTTGGATGCTGCTCCCTCACTGAGTAGCTGCAGCCTCCCCATGGCTTCTTAGTTTTTGCCCTGAGTAGTTTAAGAACTTAGCAAATGCTTTGAGAAGAAAGCTTGTGAGTGTCAGGCTCACTGCTTTCTGGGGTCTCTGTTCTGCTAGCCTTTATGTCTGGTTTTTCTCTCCAACCTATGAGGTTACTGACTGGTCCATGATGCTTCTCTTTTCCAGCAGTGGCCCTTTGCCCAGGCTTCTCAGCATCTAGAGCAGGTGCTTGACCTTGGTACTGCTGACTCTGCACCTGGATGGTTCTTTGCTCTGGGGCCATCCTGCACTGTACTGTGTTTGGCAGCATCCTTGGTCTCTACCCACTCGATGCTGGGGCACCCCTTTCCTCTCCATCATAGCAACCAAAGATGTCTCCAGACAGTGCCAACTGCCTCCCCTCTTTGAGAATCACTGTCCTCAAATTCTCAGTGTCTACAAGGTCAAAATTGTACACGAATAAAGGATCCATTCAAAGTATCAGACTGACCAGTGGACTTGAACAGAGTAATAAAAGTTGATGGGTATTTTTCCTATTCTATATTGCAGGTAACCTTTAAGAAGCTACCACTTACTGAGTTTTGGTGTAGTGTCAAAGATTATCCATAATAATCTACAACGGCTGTTAAAATACTCCTTGTAAAGTACATACTTAGCAAGGCTGGGTTCACTTTATATACTTCGACTCAGACGGCACATTGCAGATCAGATAAAGAGGCAGAGATGAGAACCCTTCTGTCTTCCAGGAAGCAGACATTAACAGAGATTTGCAGAAATGTAGAACAGGGCCACTCCTTACTGTTTCCATTTAGAAAGTATAGCTGTTTTTTTAATCTTTAAAAATGTTATAAAACAGATAATAAAGGTTTAAAACTTCTCAGTTTTGTTTTTTGTTTTTTTTGCTTTTTTTTTGTTTTTGGTAGCCTCCTCACCCAGTGTGGAGCCCGACACAGGGCTCAAGCTCACAACTGTGAGATCATGACCTGAGCCGAAATCAAGTCAGACGCTTAACTGACTGAGCCACCCAGGTGCCCCTAAAAGTTTTCAGTTTTAGTAGTGGTATTAAATATTTTATATTCAGTGGTAAATATTGCCATGTGTAACCCCGGGGGCCTCCTGGTGGGGTTCTGGCCTCACCAGGCCATGTCCTCACAGCAGCAAACTCACGGCTCTGCAGAAGTGCTCTGTTTGTGTGAGTATTTTCTCCTGTCTGGGGCAGAGGTGGTTTGGCACAGCTGTTTCGTGCATTGTTGCAAAGTGTAAGTCCTTCACTCCACACTCTTTCTAAGATGTTAGTCGTCGCTGTTGCTATTCTTTCTCAATCATTTTAATATCCAAACATCACATATGGTTTTTATAGATAGCTATCAATTCTAAGACTGTCTTTTGATCCATAATTGCAGTAATTCTAAAATTAAAAACAATGTTAATCCTAGCACATGTCTTGTGACCTGTTTTGGATAAACAGCTTATATAGTATTGTTCTAATAGATTTTTTTTTTTTTGAAATAAGCTAGTACCTTGGGAATGTTAGCAGAATATAGTCATCAGCATGTGATGAACATGCTTTATTAAAAACTCATGCAAGTATTTACTAAGAACCGACAGTTAAATTTTTAACAGAATGAGGAATATGTCTATTATTTGTTTGTGACACTGATTATTACAAATAGTGTCACTCCTCTGTTAAATTAAAAAATTGAAGTACTCTGTTAAAAAAAAGGGTTTCAATATCTTCTTTGTAGTTTCGTGGCACTCCTATATTTTAGATGATTTTTTTTTTTAGTGGGAAAGGTTATTTTTGAAAAATTGCATTGTTAGAAATTATTTCCACCTTCATTATGTGGCCTATTTATGTTCCTTTCTTTCTAATTCTGCCATTATTTATAAAGGCAGAAATCATCAAATAATTTTCCCATTTACATTTTAATGGGCTTATATTGATAAATTCTGATGTCAGAAAACTGTTGGATCAGTAAAAATACTGAGTGGCCTTCTCTTCTGTGTGGTGTTCAAATTGTGCATGCTCAGGGGAGAGAAGAGCCACGCGTCCAGGTCCTTGTGTGTTTCCTTCTTAGTGACGCTTCCGTGAACACCCTACTTAACATTTTATCTTCCTCTCTCCCCCACAACTCTTCACCTGGCTCTGCCTGGTTTTTATCTCTGCCGGCATGTTGCCCGCCCTGCATAGGAGGAAGGCCTCACAAGGACAGCCATCCATCTCTTTAGTTTGGTGTTTGTCACTGGAGTCTAGGATGTTACGTTCTTGCAGAATGAAAAATAGAGTAAAACAATGAAGGGACTTAAACATGTGACCTTTTAATACGTTAAGTGAATTATACTTTGTTACTAAGAAATTGCAGATAGACTATAAGCTTTGTGTTTATATATTCTGTTAGGATTGTTCCAGGGAACTTAATAAAATTTCTTTGCAGTACAATGTTACAAAATAGGTTAACTCTATTCTAACTTTAAATACCCTAAATTATTTAACTTAAGTGAGTAACAAATTCAAATATAGCAAATTTTTTTTTTGTACTGCTTTGGATCCTCCAGGCTTGATTGTTATAAATATAAACACTGTGTTTTTGACTTCTTATTTAATTTTAGGTTACCAAGGAAGACTTTGCCACATTTGATTATATACTGTGTATGGATGAAAGCAATCTGAGGTAATCACATTTTTTAAAGGGTATTTCTGTTCAACTCTCAGTTCAGTAATAGACCAATTGTTTGTTGTTGAAAATGATTTTTTTATTATCTTTTAAGTTTTAAAGGTAGTGATGGTCAGAACATGCAGAATGATCTGTTTAGAGTAGTAAGAAACCAGTGAGGAACTGAGAACTGTCTCCCAAGTGTATTTACACAGAGACACGCTTTCAGGTAAGGGAGAGCCTGGTTAGCAGGGTATAACCTGAAGACTGGCTGAGCCGTGAGCAGTTTCCTAGAAGGTGGGGTTGGTTTTATAGGAGAGCGATGCTTCCACTGCTGTAGCGATTCATGGGCCGTGTGGTGTTTTATTGTTTCTCACGTTATCCCCCCATTACTGCTGCCCCCAGCCCCCAAAACGGAAGATGGACAAAAAAGGGAAACTTTACTCTCTGAATTGTTGATTGCGTTAATGGATATAAAAACAAAACCAGACAGACTGGGGTATTAGGTAACAGTGGCCAACTATGCTGTGGCATGTATTGTGTGCTCTGCACACCAAAGCACTTAACCCTTGTTCTGCACCTTATCAGAGAGGCACAAGAGATTAAGTTACTTGCCCCAGTTCACAGATGAAGCAGATTGGTGTGGTAGAATTTTAGCCTAGGCTTTGTGAAACAGAGCCTGTTGTGTGTCTCACATGAACCGTACTCACCACTATGCCCTGTTGCCTTGCACGGGAACATGCATTTGGGCAACAAGGAACTTTGTGGCATTTCTTGAGTGAGCTTTGTGTGTCTGGCACAGTGCCAGGCCCTGGGAAACAAGGTTAAGGAATTGTTGGTGCTGCCTACCCTTGAAGTATACAGTCTGGCATGGGCTACATGTATTAACCCAAAATTAACCCTGACAATATGATACCATGCAATCAAGCCCAGAACAAGTGAACACAATGTATTCTACAGATGCTGAAGCTACTGCAGGGTAAGTGACCCAAGAGAGTTGTAAGGCCAGGGCCCTGTGCCCCATTGTCCTCCACCCAGTTTACTGTTTACTGTGCTGAGAAGCAGGACCTCAGCCCACCTGCTACCCCTCCGCACTCTGCCAGCACAGAGAAGGACCAGGACGTGCCCCCAGTATGACTGCAGGGATTTCTTCACTGAAATCAGTGCTAATTCACAAGGGTTCCACGTGTTTTATGAATAGAAACTGTTTCTGCTTTTAATTGCCTTTGTAGGAGTGTGCAGATATGGTGCCCAGCTCTACTTCTGTTTTTATGAATCAGGAACGTCACTAAAATACATACATGTTCTATTTCTGTCTCTCAGTTGTTGATTTGTTTAGTTCTCACTTTTCTCTCAGGTATTATTGGCACTGGTGCTTTGTTCATTAACACAGTCTCCAGGCTGGGGGGGCGTCCAGAGCAGGGTCTCTGTGGAGAGCAGCAGGAGTCCATGCTTCAGCCCGGGCTGCTTTGGGGACACGTTCTGTTGCTCGGAGGCCTGGCCAGCCTTTCCGCCACACCAGTACAGTGTCTGACTCATCCTAGGTGCTCAGTGGGGCTTTGTCAACTAAATGGAGGAATGATCAAAATGCAGCTGAGGAACTTGCCGCTTTACTTGCTGCCACGTGAGCGCTGGGGGCGGAGGCGGCGAAGCTTGGTCAGAGTCTGGAGGAATAAGAGCAGGAGAAGGGGTTAAACAGGGAGTCTTGCTGCATGAAACGCTGTGTCCAGACACTTTGGGATGGGATTGGCAGCCCTTTGGGACTTGGTTCACGTGGCTTTTTGAGTTCCATTCTGCCACCTTTATTTAGTGTCTGAAATAGAAGCTTTTTGATTTAATTGTCTCAACATGTATATCACAGGAAGATACATGATTATTTTCTGACTTAGGGATGCATATTTTGTGTAAAAGCGTTTGTGAGAATATGCTGCCTTTGCAAACCCTCTTGCCGGCATCGGAAACCTGTGGCTCGGAGGGTTACACAGGTCTGCCACGGGTTTGGTTTCCTTTTTAAATCAGGTCACGCTTCCTGGGTTTTGATATGGATATTTCATAAAACCCTAGCAGATGTCCCTGTTTAACTTGAAACCATAGATCAGAAAACTAAGTTCATGTTTCAATTTTACAGAGACTTGAATAGAAAAAGTAATCAAATTAAAAACTGCAAAGCTAAAATTGAACTACTTGGGAGCTATGATCCACAAAATCAACTCATTATTGAAGACCCCTATTATGTAAGTACACCTCTCATTTCTGTCCTGGTGCTGGTGTGTAGCAGCCATGTGGGATGAGCCTGTGTATATGTCCTGCCATGTGCAGTAACAGATTAAGGTTCTAAGAGTATTTTGTTATGTAGGTTTTGTTATTTTTTCTTCCCCTGTGCTTTCAGGGGAATGAGTCCGACTTTGAGACTGTCTACCAGCAGTGTGTGAGGTGCTGCAGAGCCTTCCTGGAGAAGGCCCGCTAATGCCACGCCCGTTCTCCCCACAGCCCCTGGCTGGGCCCCACAGGCTCTGCTGTGAGGCCGCAACTGTTTCTTCAGTTGACCCTCTGTTTCTTACCTTAAATAATTGTAGATGGAAATCAGTTATTGTATCTGACAGACAAATAAATAAAAATGTTTCATCCAGACAGTTTATGGGGTACGCGAAGTGTTCTTAGACCCGCTGAAACTCCCACTTTGCCCCAGTTACAAAAATAGTGGAACAAACAAAATAGAACAGGCACCAGAGCATGAGGACATCCAGCGTCCCTTTCGGGCACACAAGTTCTGCCTCTTCCTCGAGTTTGCGGATGACCGATGGGGACCCTGTCCTCCGCTGTCTGCACAAGCCAGCCCCAGCAGCCCATCCATGGGAGCTCCCAGCCGAGACTCACCCTTGCTCACGGTGCACACTGTTTACATAGAAGAGTTAAGGTGTTAGTCTACAGAACCTTTCCGACCTGCTAGTTTATTTCATCAGGAAGTCAGCTTGATTCCATTCGAACCATTTTGCCTCTGGAAAGTTACAGGCAGAAAGAAGGACACTGTATGCTGGTTTATCTTATTGTCTATTTGAGGAGCGTGTCTGCTTTTCAATGCCTATAGAACCCAATTGTCAAATACAGATCACCTTAGGTGGGAAAAAATAACTAAAAAGTCGGGGAAAGTTCTTTTATGTTGAGCTGCTTAAATATTGAGACATTAAGTATTCTTTCATCAGTGCTTAATTTATAGACAAGTATAGGTAATTTCTGTGCACTTGGAGGTAACTAATCTAAAATTCATATGGATATATGGCAGAAAAGATTGTTTTCCAAAATAAACTGGGGAAATTATAAAAATACAACTAAGAAGTCTGGTGTCCGCCTGCTTTTTTATTGATAAGTGAAGAAGAATTAGAGAACAATGCCTTTGTTGTCCCTTTCCGATGATCTGTGATGTTATATGTGCATATTTATCTTCAGCGTTAGGAAATAAAATGACAAAAGTAAGCACATTGCTTCCACTTCTTTGTGAAAGAAGTTTGAGGGCCCTGCAGCCATACAGGTCCTTGCCCGACCCAGCATCTGTGGAGTGTGGCAGTCTCCTCCTCGGAGCTGGCTCTCCAAGCTGGGCCTTCCTGGGTGGCATGGCTAGATGAGTGTGCTCCCTGTCTTCGCCGGGATTTACAGCTGGTGACCTGGAATCCTGGGAGGACCCCGAGTCATGGATCAGTCTTCATCCAGAGCCCGAGTGGACCCTTGCTCAGAAGTAGGAGGAGTTTGGAGGAATAGCTGCCCCATCAGGGTGGCTGCTTCTGGGTGTTGTGGGGCTGCCCGTCCTCAGAACTTGAGGGTCCTGGCTGGGGGGTCAGGTGGGGCATTTAGTCCTGGAGGATGAGCATGGTGGCTTTGCCACCACCCCTTCAGGATGTGTGTCTGGCCCCCTGTGGGATTTCCCAAAGACAGTCTCCTGCCTGAAAACCCTTCCTCAGGCAAGTAGGAACCTTTAGAGCTTACATGGATTGAGAAATTGGTGATGGTGCTTTAAAAAGTAAAGAACTGAGCTGAAAAGATGAAGTAATTAGAAAATAGGACTAAGAGCACTTTAGAGTTACACTGCCCTAATCCTTCAGTAGTTGCTTAATAATCTCAAAGTATTTCCATACTCTGTTCCTTCGTGATCATGAATAAATCCCTATAGTTTGTTTTCCTTACTCTTTGCATCTGTATCTTAAATACGGACCTCAGACATGTCCTGGGAATCATTCTACTTTATCCTTATGGCTGTATCCAGACTAGAGGTCCTGTGAATAGAGAAACTCAGTGTTGAATTCACTTGTCATAAATTGGATGCAATCAGATTTGTTAAAAATATATCACCTGTAAAAATCAGAGCTGCTTAGAAGTCTTACCTCTTAGTTTTTTCATGATTACGAAGTCACACAGGAAAATACAGATGCAACCTTCTTTAAATATTCACCCCATATCAGGCTCTGTCTTAAGACATGCCACCGTTACATAGTAGTGTCTCCTTTTAAAAAACGCCAATTTAATTGTCCCTTCCAAGAATTCATAGCCTTCCCCTCTTATGTATTATGCCTTTATATTCCATGACATTCTGCCAGTGTTAGGATCTCTTCATGGTTCTGTGAATCATGAATTCCCACCGGAGAGCTTGTTAGAAGTGAAGAGTCACTTTGAAGACTTAGTTATAACAAACATTTCGTTTATTATTTGTTTTATTTACAGTATTTACATATTGCACAATATCTGGATACTATCTTACATTTATGATAGAAAGAACAAATGAAATTAGCCTGGATATGTTCACAGACTTATACTCCACTGTCTCCAAAACATGACAAGTTTTTTTTTTTGTTTTTTTTCTTCCATGTAGTTCCAAATAATGCTCTGGGAATTTAATTGTAAGAGTAACAAAAATACTAAATCATACCATATGCTATATGAAAATATAGTTGCAGATTCTATTTATGTTTCTAAAGAAATACTCTTTGAGATTTCACCTAATCAGGAGAATGAAATAGCTTTGTCTAATTTTACAGCATCAAATGTGGAGCATTCGCCTTTTCCCCCAAAATCGTGAATGGCAAGTGTTACCGTCAGGTACGCTGATTAACTGAATATGTACCTGCCAACAGTGTCAACAACATACAAAACTCAAGTTAAAGGGTTTATGGAAGAGTCAGTCTGCAAAAATAAATCTCTTGTTCACAAGGGGACGTGTTCGTGAAGGTAGCAGGTTCTGTTCCCTGTTGATTTCCAAGGCACTTCTCATGGTTCGTGGGCTGTTGGTCCTTTGCAGCTCTGCTCACTGCTGAAAAACACATTTGGTTTCATAGAAAGTCACACTTTCTTATCAATTCTGGGAGTATACATCAAATGATGTAACATAATGTGTTTGAGAACACAAGGGATCACAGTCTGCATGCGTATATCTCTATGTTCCAAAGAGTGTAATCTGTTTTATTGTGGAAATAACCAAGTTCTACAGTTGTTACAGGCCTACTGTGCTAAAGGAATGGAAACCATCACTGGTACAACTGAATGCTTACTAAAGTCTGAAGACCAGCCTATGGTCCTGATGTGTGATGTCAAGTCCTCTAATTTGGGCCACAGTGATTGACAGCCTGGCAGTCCTGAGAAACCGCTCATTGGCCCTTAAGCCTCCATCTGCACGAGCATTTGCGAAACTAAAAACCAAAAATAAACCCTTTTTTCTAGCACTCCCTGCAGTGTACCCGAACAATTGGTACACTATTCATTAATTTTAAAAATAATGGTAAGCTCCAGGGTTGCTAAACTTAAGCTGCATTTTGTGGACTGAACTAGACACTTTCTACTCAAAACTCCATTTCTTTGGAAATATATTCCAGAGCTCAGGCTTCTAACTGAACTGAACTGCAGGTCTGGGTAATGAAGTGGTGTGTGAGAGGTCTCCAGTGTGTCTCTGTGAGGGAGAGTAGCTGGGAATCTAGTTTCTCTTTGGCTGGAGGTCAGTTAAAGAGACGGAGTGTGTAGCCTGAGTAGTTGTTTCAGTGGAGAGGACCACAGGGCATTTGGTCTTCCCTCCTGTAAGTAAACGGAAGTTGTCTTCCGAGGATGTGCCTGGTTCATCTCTGGAAATAGTGGTGCTTTAACTATGAAGGAATGCTTAATAAAATAACATTCCCATCTCCCCTAGCGTATCACCTTGAGAGACTTCTGAGAATCCATCCATTGCTTCAAAAAGAAGTCTTTTCTGTGTGCCATTTGGCAGTGGACTCAGATGGGCAGTGGAGTGGAGGTCAGGTTAGTGAATGGCATTTCTCAGCTTTGGCGCTAAAAGCCATGCTTTTACTTCCCCCACATAAAAAGTGCCGAACAAGTTTCTGTGAACCTGCAAGGATGTGGCTTCATAATCCTCCACTAAACCACATGTTGTTTCTCGCATTATCGGTGAGACTTACGCCGGGGAGAAGCCGGTGCTGACGATGACATGGCTGTGCTTGCGTGGTCAGATGGCTGCGGGGGTTTGGCTCAGCCCCCTTGGCACCGTCTAGACCTTTACCAGCACAGGCTTTCCCCCAGCAAGCATGTCTGTGTGAAAGAACATGACTCCCGCATCCACACGCACGAGACAAACAGGGAAACCACTGTGCACACAGCAGGTAATTGGGAACAACCATTGAGGACCTGAAGCATGTCTTATATGTGGGGGTAAACTTGGCCTCTGGCAGTGTCCATCACACACAAGACACACTGTAAATATACAATTAGGAAATTACCGTTTTGTGACCGAAATCCACGGCATTGGTGTCAGGAAAACAAAACCTTTCAGCCATTAGTATGGTGGATAGTTGGTGTTGGACATCAGCCCTCAAGAGGCCAAGGCTAAAAATTGAGTTCATAAACTCTCCATGTGCCTTTATATTTTACCATTGGAGGCTCTGGAAAAATAGCTGATAGAAACATAGAATAGCTATTCTTAGCTGTTCCTTATAAGCTTCCTGGCATAATGATAGATTCCAACTCAAACATTTGCCAGATACGTCTATAAAAGTTGCATGGATATGGTTAGTCATATACTCATTTATGAGTGTAAATGAATGAGTGAAAGCCTAAAAGTGAACAGGCATGGTTTTAGATACGTATCCTAATTTATGCACTAAGTCATGTGCTGAAATTAGTCCACTAATGGGTTGTGTTTCAAATTAACACGCACTCTGCCAAGGGAGTCCTCATAGGAATAATTCACAGCAGCTGCCTGGGGCACTGTGTGCAGACTGGCAGGGGTACCTTTTATTGATAGCCAATATTTGTAGATATTTTAGTGTTATGTCAACCTCAGAGGAAGGCTACTTTAGCCAAAGAATGAGTATTTCTGGACTCCGATGAATTTTTCATGTCCCAAACGGGATTTGGGTCTTTGGTGGGTGTACCAGTGAATCTGGGGTCAGCTTACCTTATCCCTCCATGCACATTGGACTGACAGCCAGCCGGGTAAGCAGCCTGGCACATCTTTTGTAGTCTGTAGGGAAAATAAATCGTGGACCCTTGTCAGTGACATCAACTCCTTAAATATTTTTTAATATCAACTGCTAAAGCCATTTATTTCTTTAATCTGAATTCCCTGGAAATGATGGGGAGACCGTCATCTGAAATCATGGGCTCTAAGTTGTTGATTTAATAATTTATGGTATTTGAGGGGCTTTCGTTTCACATGGCAGAAGATAAATAATGGGACTGGAGGCTGTGCAGGGAGGGGCAGATGCAGGATCTCCTGCCCAGTTTCTTTTCCCAGTGGCTCTTCATGCTCATCAAAATGACTTTGGTTTTGTTCCCTAGCAGACAGTCTCCCGTGCCCTGTGTGACTTAACTTTCAGGGCACATGCAGGCTGGATCCCCACTTGGGTTGATCATACACAAAACCCTCTGCATAAAGATTCAAAGAAAGTGGGTCAACAAGTAACAGAGCAGAAAGACCTGGATTGGGTGGTGAAAGGAAGCAATAGGCTAATTTCTGAGCACTAGTGGATTTTCCTTGATATCTCACCTAATTAAATTATTCCATAGGTGCTACCTCAGAGAAAACAAGTGGGGTTTGGTGATCATAACCATAAAGGAATTTACTTAGTTTGAAGTTCTGTGGAAAGCCACAGCAGTTTATAAATTACTAAAGTTTACTTCTCAAGAGTCTCAAAATCCTGCTTAAAAATGGAAGAATTCATGCTCTTAACTGAAATTCTGAATGAATGAGTAAACTGACAACGAGTTTGCACAATATGTCAGACAAGCAGCTAATCCTACTCCTAAAAAGGCAGCTCTTAAATATTTAGACGACATAATAATTTGTGTTCAAAGGAAAAAAAATGGCCTAACAGCTGGAAGCTGGGTCATCTGGATTCCTGGCATTTTTTTCCCTTTTCCCCAGTTGCACCAAATATTTTAGGATGCAGTTTTCCTAGATAGAGTATGTGTGGGTGCAGTGTTGTGTGAGTTTAAGGCAAATACTTCAATTTGTAGCACATCTAGAGACAATGAAGTTGACCACCATCCCACCCAACCTGCATGTTCAACCCTGACATAATATGGGGGTCTTTGAAGGTGGAGTCTTGGAGACTTCAGAGTTCTGCTCTTCTGAAGAGCTGCCCTTGGGACCACACTTTGAGTAAGAAAACTCTGGTTCCTTTCACTTCTGACCTCCCAGGATTCTAGTTTTCTTTCATAACAGCCTAAAGCAACACAGAAGTGGCTCAGCTTTGGCTCTCCACCCACCTCCATATGGGTAAAGTGTAAGTAGCCGCTTACCCAGTGCACACACCTGTGGGCTTCCACGTCTCCCAGGCCTGAGGGGAACTGTGATAGACCCTGATGGCTACCTCCCATAATGGGTGAGCAGGGATCTGGGTGGCATGTAGCTGAGTTACTCTGAGCAAAAGGAGGCAGTGACTGTGGGCACATACGGTGTCCTGGGGAAGGGGTTGCAGAGTCGAGTGTGTGCTGTCTGTGTGTCAGGGCACAAGGAATTTAAGCATGTTTGTTTCCTCATACACACATGAAAACATTAGACCCGAAAGATCACTTTCAAATTTAGAATCTGTGATCCTATTACTGGAAGATGGCATTTAAAAATACAGACACATTTAAACAATAAAAATGTTCTCTGGCCCCTGGAATAATGAATAACTCTCAAACAGAAGGCAATTCCATTTCAGAGGAAGGAAGTGGGAGAGGGACATGCCAGGTTCATAGGGCATGGACCAGAGGGTGGACCAAAGCAGTGCTTGAAAAATAATCCGAGCTCTGTGGGACACATGTGCCACTTGCCGTGGCTGAGCCCTGAGCAGTGGTGAGAGCCTGAGGGCCTTCGCGCCCAGCACCCCAGCTCCCTGCAGAAGGTGATGCTCCCGGTCTTACTGGCCACCTTGGTCAATGCGCCTGGACAAGGAGCTCCGCACATGGTAGCTGCAATTATTTGGGGCAACTTTGCTGCCTGAGCAGAAAAACTTCCACTTCATATGAAGTGGCTTATTTTTTTACTTTTCATTTTTTGAAGGCAGGGCAGGAAAGTCTGGCCTGGATAGTGTGGATATTCTAGAGTGTCTGAAAGCCGCTAGTAAGACACCTGGTGTGTCTGCACCACTTTCCTCCTGTGAGCCTCACGTGAAATGAAAGCTATAGTCCCTACAAGAAAAATTGGTTTAGGGCTCTAACTGATGTCACTCTAGCTAGTAAGTCACTTGTCATCATTACATGTTTTGTGACGAGCACCAGCAACCACTCTTGGGGGGATAAGATACATTTTGTTACAGATAGACAATCAGAATGCTGTAGCTGAGAGCTAGACTGGGAGGGGAGCTGTGTACTCCCGCATGAGTGAAGAGCAGCATCTAGTTGGGGTGGAGTGGCCCAGGTCCACAGACCCTTTCGACTCCAGAGGAGTCATTTTAGCAACTCACTCTTGAAGTTTGTCCTGTTGAGTAGATACAAATACAGACTTCACGCCAGAATCCATAAACAAAACAAGAATGTGAATGGAAGAGTTCAGCCCATTCCAAGAGCTGATTAATTCTAGTGAATGGAAATGATTTTCCATTTGGCACTAGGTGCTACAGAATGCCGTCACCTTCTATGGTCTGGTCACCCTAACCCTTAACTCCACAGTTAAGAGGGAATATATTTTAGCAAAGAGGAGATTTAGGAGGAGGGTGGAAGGACATGAGAAACATCAACATGTGCTGGTCTTTCAAAAGCAATGAGGATGCTGTCACTCACATGCAGGGATGGTGCAGTCTCTGGTGTTGTGGTAAAGTCTGTGAAAGTGTTTGCTGCACTTTGGACTGAAATAAAGAGGACCTGGAACATGGAAGAAGAAGCAGATTGTGAGGACTTGCAGGATGCCAGGAACTGGGCACAGGTGAAGGAATGAGGACACTTACCTGTAAGATGTTTTAGAAACTTGTCCTTCATCCTTAGATCTCGAGGAACAATTTCTGTTTGAAGGGAAAGAGGCTAATTATTGCATTGCTTGAAAGAAGCATTTGTTTCTACGTGTTCTCAGTGAATGTGGAAGAAAGTTATTGGAAACTCTTCATAAGCCATGTTACATTGCGCTAAATAAAACAGATTGGTTGTACATGATGGTTGTACATGACATAATGTGAAGACTTGTAATCAGGATCACATTTTTCTTCAGATAAAGTATTAGCTATTCACAAAGCTTTAATATTATTTGTCTTGTCTCTGCCACTAGTATAAAGACAGTGACGATAAAGTTATATAAGGGGGAAGAGTTGTGTGTGTGTGTTGACAGCTTCTGATAGAGAAATCACTTTTAGACATTTTCATTTTGGACAGCTTGGTAACGGAATACCACAAGCTCTGAGAGTTCTAGAATGAAAACCCAATCCTTCAAGCAAAAAAAAAAAATGTTATAAAACTTTTTTTCTAGGTATATATTTAGAAAAAGGATTAAATGCCTTCAAAACCACCTGTTATGAAGGCTGGTGTAAATGCATGGAAACAGACGTTTACCTGGGTAATAAGATTAAAGTAAAATTCCCAGGGAAAGACAGCTCTCAGTTTTTACTTGGGAATAGTAGTGTTCCCACTGACATTCTTTCTGATCCAGGTGTTGTTTTTGCTTTTTTACAGTCACCTGTAACCATTTTTCACTCCCTTGTTTTGGAGAATGACTTTTGCTATGATTGCATGTGGTCGCACTTTGTTTCACCACAAATACTCCTCATCTGAGGAGGGAACATTTCCTACGAATCTTCTTCACTTGCAAGGCTTACGCATCTCCTGAATGTCAGTCTGTATGAAATTGACCTTATCACATTTGACCCAATTGTGTCATGAAAGCATTAAAAGCTTGCATGCTTTCTTTGGAAATTTCCCATGGGGCACCCACTCTGGGAAGGCTCTGCCATTGGCAGAGGGGGGTAAGGGGAGGGGGGTGGCCCTGAAACATTTCTGTCTCCGTTGAAAGTGCTTTGCTGAAAATATTTCCATTTCCTAAATAACAGATGACAGTTCTGTGCCAAAGCTCCCAACCTAGGTAATAACTCACGTGTCTTAGAAATGGAGTAGGGGTAGTTATACGCGAGGCATCATCACTTACCGACCTCCTATTTTCTTCTTAAAAAAAAAAAATCTAGTTTTTTTCAAAAGATCGAAATGGTTTTATCTTGTTAAAATAGATATGATTTCTCAATTTCCAAGCACACACGAGTTCCGGTGTCTCCTGAGACTTGACGGATACGCAAACATGCTGGTGGTTCCCACTACACTGCACACACCCAGAGAAGCCTCGGAGGCAGGTCACTCGGTCCGCAAGCCCGAGGCAAGGGCACTCACCCACTCTCTGCTCCTCGGGATAAACCGGGTAGTCCGAGACCTCCCTGCGGCCCAGAGTGTAGTCGTGCTGGCCCAAGAGTTGCAGTCTCTTCGACTCGCCCGAATGGTACTTCTTGAGCTCCTGGAGGATCTCCACGATCAGCCGCAGCAGGGTCTGTCTGTTGGCCGCCTCCCGGGGCTCGGCGACCCCGGGCCCCGCCGCGCCCAGCACGAGCAGCAGCCCCAGGAGGAGGGGGCGCCCAGGCCCGCGCATCGTGCGCTTGCTCGGCCGGAGGGAGCTCGGCTCGCTGGAAGGACAGGGTGTGGGGGAAACCGGGAAAGAAAGTCGGCGGGTGGTGGCGGCGGAGAGGACAGGCTCTTCAGCTGAGACCGCGGCCCCTCGCAACCCCCGGCCGATGAGGGACCGGCGGCGGAGGCTGCGACGCGGTGTCCCCGGGACCCGCGGAGGCCCCGCCAGGGTGATGCCGGGGGCAGAGGCTCGGGCGCCGCCGCCCTCCTCAGCGCGCCTCCTCGCGCCCGCGTCCCGCCCCCGCGGCGGCCCTCCCAACTTTCCGAGCCGTGGCATATCCGCCTGCACTTCGCAGCGCACGGCACCGGCACAACTTTGTTAACCTTTAAAGCCAAGCGGCGCTGCGGCGTCTACTGCGCCTGCCGGGCGGGCGCGCACCCACCCGTCCAGGAAGGCTGGAAGACGCAAGGACTGTCCTGCCCGCGGACCTATCGCTTCCCAACAGGGCACCGTTGCGCCCTCGGGTGAGTGGGGGCCGCGCGCCCCGCCCGAGCGGCTGCGCTCAAGTTTGCAGCAACGCCTTTGTGTGGTGGTCGCCCTCTCCTCCCGGCCGGGTGTCCCCAAAAGGCCCCCCGCCCCAGGACCCTCGCTCCAGCCGCCCGCAGTGCCAGGTTTTAGAAACCCGCGGCCCTCGGGGAGGGGAGGGTGCCCGGCCCACACCTGCCCGGCGCCGCCCGCGGGGCCACCTGCGCGTCGGAGCCCGGCCAGATTACCTGCCCCGGTGTCCCGGAGCCGCGCGCGTCCTTCGGCTTCTGTCCCGGTGTCTGTTCCCGCGTTCCGGAGCCGCCGCGCGCCCCGCTACTCCATGCCCCGCGGCGACCCGGCGTGCGGAGCGCACAGGACGCGCGGGGATGGAGACGCGGTGGCTCGGCCGCTCGGAGCGCTGGACGCGCGGCTGCCTGGGCTGCGCTCCGACCGCGGCCGCTTCTTATCCCTGCGCCCGCCGACGTCAGGCCGGTCCCCGAGGGCTCCGCGCGGGGCTTTAATTAGAAGCCGCTCAAGTGTTCGTACCCCTGTGCGGATCTTCGTCAGACACCCCCCCCATCTCCTCCCATCTCTCCCTGCCCCCGTCTGTCTCCCCCTCTCCCCCGCTCCCTCTCCCTCTGCCCCATCCCCTCCCCTCCCCCATCTCCTCCTCCGTCATCTCCTCCCCCTCCCGTCCCTCGCCTCCCTCCCCTTCGTCTTCCCCTCCCCCTTCTCTCCCTCAGTCTGTTTCCCTCCGTTCCTGTCACTGTGACAGGATGAGAAGAAACGCCTTTACCAGGAACTCAGATCTGTTTTTGTCTAAATGTAGATCTTGGGCTATTAAAAAATGAGCTGCCTGATTGCCTCGACATTTAATAAGTCAATTAGAGTCTATCCTTTTTGGAGGAATCTTTCGGCGTGGCTGGGGGCCACTCTCAGGACCCCAAGAGGTCTGCACCGCCCCACGGCCTGCAGCGGGAGGCCAGGTCCCTGAGGCCGGGCAGCCCCCAGGGCAGGGGCCTGGGTTCAGTGTGGGACACAGGCAACGCTCTAGTAACCTCGGGATGTACCCAGTTACCTGGCAGGACACGTGGGAGCCCCTCCTCCACATGCATCCCCCCCACCCCACGCGGAAGGACGAACCGCAGCCCCTCCCGCAGGGGCCCGCGCGGCCCGCGCTCCCGGCTCTGGGGGCTGGTCGCTCGCTCCCCTTCCTCAGAAACGCCCGCAGGAGACCTCTTGGGGCACCTCCCTCCAGGCCTAGTCTTTCCGAAAGTTTTGGTTCTTTGGATACAGGCAGGCACATTTGTGAGGCTTCAACAGTTTATCGCCTGTAAATTTTTTTTCTTGTAAAATGTATTATCAATCAATGCGCGCTTTCCCATTTTATTGGCGCTTTCTGGGCAAGCGCTGGACACCCTCCAAGTCAGCGGTCTGACCGGGGAAGGCGTTCTCAGTACGGTACCAGAAGGGGGGGTGCGCGCAGGAATTAAAAGCCTCCACCCTTAACGGGACCAGCACCCAGGGCCCCCCGGGCAGAGGCGCTGCGGGCACGTGGCGCGGACCCCGAGCCAGGCCTGAAGGTCGCAGGGGCGGGAACCCCCAGGGCCGGAGCTCTCTCTGTGCATGTCTTCGTCTGTGTCTCTCTGTCTCAGGCTCTGTCTCAGTCTCTCTGTCTCTGCTCTGTGTCTCTGTGTCTGCTCTGTCTCTGCTCCGTGTCTCTATGCTCTGCCTC